ATGCAACAGAGCCATCGTTAATGTTATTACTGTAGTTCCACTTGTGCTTTTTTTCCTGCTATGACAAGTCTGAAAGAGCTGTTTTGTAAGAGGTTTAAAATACACCCAAAGATTTCATTTGCAAACCCACTGTTCCCATTAATCATTTTCTCAAAGATAATGGCACATCTTTTTGACTAACTGCTGCTCTCTCTCTACATGTATATCTCCCCTGGTTAATTTAAGTGTCAGTTAATGAAAATTGCAGAAGCTGAAGTAGATGAGCGCTCTCACTGTTGTACTACGTTCCGTACAATAAAACTGTGTGACAACTATCACAGACATGAATGCGAAGGAAGAGCCTGTATTCGAAGCACACAGACGTGAACACCCCAGACTTCAAGAGGTTGCAGAATTTACAGCTGTTAAAAATTCACAACCCGAGTTTCACAACATGCCATCTGTCACACAGACAAAAACTACAAAACTGTAAAATTATACTGATGTATTATCACTGTAGGGAAATTTGATCTGCTTCACCCTATTGTCAGAACTGTCAAGCTGATGCATCTCAATACACTAATTTAGAAGATATGTTATACTCTGTAAAAAGTGATTATTCAAGTCATTTAAACAAAGAAGAATTACAGAGTGAATCTCTTTTTAGCAATGACCAGTAAAAAGTCAACCTCCTCTCCTCTCCTCTCCTCTCCTCTCCTCTCCTCTCCTCTCCTCTCCTCTCCTCTGCATCTGGTGTAATAACGGTCCATACATAATTAATGCTTTGATAAATCAAACTGTGAGTTCTCTGCTTAGATGTTGTAATATTCTGAGAGGTGTCATTTGTTTTGCCTGGTTAAACCCTTATTAGTGCAAGATGGATTATGTGTGTGTGTGTGTGTGTGTGTGTGTGTGTGTGCATGTGTGCATGCGTGCATGTGTAAGCATGTGAGCCAGTAAGACACAGATGTCCTTTTTTACTGTTAAGGCAGAAGATGGAAATAATCTTTGTTTTTGGACATGAGCTGCATAAAAAGATTCCAGGTTTGTTTCCTGGGTTTCCCGAGGGAAACACGGACACATGCTCCTCTGGCTTTGAACTTTCAGACCTCAATAACCTCTGTCTAGATCTACACTGACACTGGACTGAATTCTGTCTATGTTATTGTCTTTGAGGATATTGAGGGATATTGAGAGAGAGAGAGATGCTTTGATCCAAGAGCATGCCACTGCCACGCACTGTGAAACTGTACATCAGCTAACGCCTGCAAGTGCGAGGAGGCTCCCATGGATTTACTAAATATTACATTGCACTATTCAAGATCATCATCATGTTGACTGCTCAACTGCACCTTTTTGTTCGTGGTCCAGTTGACCAATATCAACATTTTGGTTGCCAATATGTGACTTTCATGTCCGATCTGTGGTTTTGGATTTGGCAGCTTGGAATGGTTGAAGTCAGCTCTGTTATATTATACAACTTTTTGTAGTATACCACAGACTTAAGGGAAACTAATTAATATAGGCTTATCATCTAACTATTTATCTTTTTGGATTAAAAAGAGATGCAGAAAATAAATATCGCAGAAGTCCTCCAGCTTATACGACAGACTAATATCAATTCCTGTACAGGTCAAGATCAGAGTTTGATTTGGTCCAGGGATTTTACATTATTCCCTTGCATAGCTTGTCAATAGCTTACCTCTGGCTACACAACAACTAAATCATCCTGTTCTGCATCACACTGCTGAAATGATACTTTGACAGAATGTCAAACCTCGGACATCTGTGAGAGTGACAGCCAAGAGGCACAAACCAGCTTCCATAGGCTTCTACTGCATAATACATTTTCTTAGCATTTTCTCTCCCTCTTTTCTTCCAGCAGAGCTTCCATGATAATGTGAGGCATTCTTCCACAGTGCAACAACACAGAGAGCCAGCCAAGATTTTCTCTCAGCATATCGGTAGGAGCCTGATCACTGTCCTTAACTGACAGGATCAAGAAGGGAAATTATATTAGACTCAGTCTACAGGGGAAAAAAAATAAAAAATGCATAATGCACTTTGAAAAGTGCATTGTACTTAACATAAACACATTCTAATCATAGACCACAACAGCGCATTCATAATCATGTTCGTTACAGCATGTACATTAATCAGAAAACAACATTCAATTAAATGCTGTAATTCAGCTGTACTATTAAGCACTCAGAGAGCGCATCCTTCTGCTCTGTCCTCTGAATTCATTACAGTAAAAAATATTTAAAGCAAATTAATTTGCATCTGAATCTGGATTTGAATCAAAATAAACCAGCCCAGCAAAGGCAAAAGATAGCATAGCTGATTGGCTGATGGCAGGCAAGATTTTGGATGTAGAACCTCTTCTGGAATATTTGGGTTTTGTACTAACATTACAGTAACCGTGGAAAAAGGTATGTTGCTTCTCTAGTCAAATGTAAAGTGCTTAAATGGCCACATGGAGATATGGAGTCACAATCTGCACCAGGTAGCAATCACCTTTTCTTCATGCACAGTTCAAATACCTGTCAAATACTAAGCAGCTTGTTAGCTCGGTCTACCACTTGTTGAAAGGAAGTATATCTCTGCAGTGTACATGCAGCGAGTCAGACTCCTCTAACCCCGAACTTCAGCTACTCCGAGCTTCAATGTAAACAAGCCTCCTGACGAACTGAGGTCTGGCCAGAATGACCTGTCTTTGAAGAAATATCACGCACAGTGAATGCACTGACTCTGGATCTCTGTCCCACTGTTTTTGACTAACGTGCAGCAGCCAGTAGTTTGGTTGCCATGGATACCATTTCAGGTGTTTGGGCTCCAGTCTCTGCAGGCGCTTTGCAACATGGTCTAATGGCTTCTGGGTCTGTTTGTGTGTGTTTGTGCGTGTGTGTGTGCATGTGCACTGATGTGGGAGTGTGTCTGTGTACCCAGCATACCGATGCTGTCTGTGAGCACAATTATGAAAGATTCTCTCTTCTCTTCTCTTTTCTTCTCTTTTCTTCTCTTCTCTTCTCTTCTCTTCTCTTCTCTTCTCTTCTCTTTTGTCAGCTCCCATTGTTTCTTTACTTCTCCTTTTTTTGAACTCTCTCCCTTCCCATCACTATCTCCCCTCCCCTCCTCCCCACAGATAGACAGTCTGAGTGTAGTAGGTCAGACTTGAACAGCCCAGTTTGACCCAGCAGCCCACTTGTCAGGCAGTGCTCTGTGCACCCAGGCTGAAAGACTGATGGGACCAGGAAACAGAAAGGGACAGAGACAGAGAGGAAGAATCAAAGAGAAAGATGGTGGGAAAGAAAGAGTAATGATAAAGACAAAAGCAAGCTGTAAAGGTCTTGGGCTGATTTGTAGTTGTCTGCTATAATCTGATATCACACACTGGATAAAATTACAGTAAAAAGATATTACAGTAAGTTGTGCACTGAGCAGTGGTTCACTCTTAAACAGCCAATGAGAGCTGACCAGTTCAGAGTGAGGTGCCACTGGGCGAGCTTAGTCTGGCTGTCCTCCTGTATTCAGTTCAGGCATAATTCACCTTTCTATACCCCGGCTCATATTGGATTTTTTTTTACTGGATTCTGACAGTAATTTTTTGGGAGGATCCCTCAAATTTCTTTTTCAAAGAACAGTGACTAAGCTAAATCCTTAGCAAGACATTTTACAGTTGAAAAGTAAACTTGTCCATTTCTAAATCCTCAAACCTCCAACACATTTTAGCATTTCCATTTTTAGTTTTTTTTCCATTAATTGTCAGGCAACATATACCAAAAACATCTCCTAAAAATGACTATACTATGTTTGCAAGCTAATATCAATTGATTTACTTCTAATTACTTTCTATTGACAAATTACACATCAGTGTTGAAAGTTATGCTTTGTAATCATAAGCTGTACATTAGCATTCTTCCTAATGAGTAATATATAAATAATGATAGCATTAAAAAATCCATACAAATTCCTACCAAAAATTATATAACCATTATATGAAACTACAGTTTGAGCTGCTGTGGCTGTTGAAGCATGTAAACATTCATGTAAGGGAACTACGCACCAAAACATGTCTCAACCATGCGCTTCCTCCAAGGCATTCAAAGGTGAATCTATCTCTGAGTTTATACATCATACATTCCCCAGTGGTACAGCTACAATACATTAGGCTACCGCCATCATCCAACATACAATCAAAAAGGCATCTGTTACTTCGCCGGTTTTCCGAAATTCCTAGAAAAGTAACCCTTTGAATCAAAGCCATATCCATTACTTAGCCATTACTTTTACTGTGTAGGTGCAGCAAAACAACACAGTAGAACCACATACATAAACCAACCACCTTATCACACCCTCACCACCTCCTTCTACACTACAAGCTTAAAATAACATAAGAAATGCCCAGGAGATTATAGAGAAAGGTACAAATCACATAATGGAGAGATAAATAAATGAGAGGCAGCTCTGAACCCATGTTTCTCCCACTGCCAAATAAAGCACTGAATGAAAAGGAAAAAAAAAAGGATCATAACTTTCATTACATAAAAGTCTCACTGGCTCTGCTCAGTGTCAGAGATGCACCTCACAGGTCATAAAAGTACTAAAGGAGCTGCGATGCTGCACTAAGTGTGTGTTGCTGCTTACAGGTTGGTTGCCTGCAATGTTACCCAATGGGCATGTTTATCAGGTGTACAGCAGTCATAGCAAACTGTGTTAGCCACTGAATGCGATATTCACATCATCACAAGTTGATCAGCATCAGCACCTTCTTGATATACTCAAATCTGAGTGAGTGTGCACGGTGCTGCAAGGACTCGCATACAAGATACAGTACACACAGTACATTGAAATATTTCTAGCCCAGTAACAGTTACACCACACACACACACACACACACACACACACACACACACACACACACACACACACACACACACGCACACACACACACACACACACACACACTCACACACTCACACACATGAAAATTGAACAAATTTATAGTAAGGTGAGCTCACCTTCATGGCGCATCCCTCTGTTGCTCGTCCACTAGGAAACACACGTGCTTCTCTGGGTGTGTGCGATGAGGGAAACACAAAGTGAGTGCGTGTCTGTAGCTTTGGCTGTAAAATCTATCTCTTCCCCAGGAGGAGAGTCTGTCGCTCTCCACAGCGAAAATGTGTGTGATGGTGTTTGTAAATGCACGTGTATGTCTGTGAGATGAGTGTGTGTGTGTGTGTGTGTGTGTTGGAGAGAGAAAGTGCTGCTCCTCCTAGCCTCTCCTGATGTTATATGAATGAAAACTCTAACAGAAAAGGACACACCTAAGTCTTAACATGAATCTATCTATCTATCTATCTATCTATCTATCTATCTATCTATCTATCTATCTATCTATCTATCTATCTATCTATCTATCTATCTATCTTCTGTTCACACTTTTTCTATCATCTCATTCTGCGCTCTTTATGCTTCCTGTCCTCCCTCCTTTCTTCCCTTCTCCTATCTGTCTCACTTTCCTCCTCTCCTATCGTCTCTTAGTATCATGTGTTTGTCCACCTCCTTCTAACTCTCTCCCTCTCTCTCTCTCTCCCTCCCTCCCTCCCTCCCTCCCTCCCTCGATATCTCCCCACCCTCTCCGTTTAATGGAAAGCTCACATTTCTCTGTTCTCCCACATAGAAACAGAGAGGGTCAGGGAAAAGAGAATACATAGTAATGGTACGGCTCTCCTCTTTTTTCACAGTCCATCCATCCACCTGTCCCGCTTGTCTCCTCTCACCCTGCAGTGCATCACAGTGGGCTACCCTGCCCTTGCTCTTGCTTAATTAATCTCTATGTGATTAAAACACACATTATACACACATTACTAGTATAATTGGTTGAGATGAATTAATTTAGAAATACAGGGAATTTCCAGGAAAATATCTTATTGATGATTAGAGCCATGGAACAAATAACAGGTAAAGATCATAGTCAAACACCAGCAGACGATCATACCACTACATTATAAACTGTTACAAAGTATTATATCACCTTACATTTACAAGGATGTAAATGTAAGGTTGTAAACTGTCCTCTACTCTGTTTGATTACATGGTTCAGTTGGCAAGCTCGCAACAATGCAGGGCATACACACACACACACACACAGTAATGCATCCTATTTCGTGTCCCTATTTGCAAGAGATGCTATGTGATATCCAAGAGTGGATATCAGTGTGAGTGAGTTCAATGACATCAAGCACAGGTATCATAATGTAATCCTTGAAGGTTGACTTCACACGTTTTAGTACGCAATGGTAATATCGGCAGCACATTGAGATGCAGGGCAGCTCCCGTTCAGATGCAGAGTAGGGATAGTAAATCTTTTAAAGTCAATCTGCCCTGCAACTGTGTGCTGACATAGAACAGCCAACAGAGGGAGCCGTCACACCTCACAAGCCAGGGCTCATTATAACGGAGAAGAGAAGAGAAGAGAAGAGAAGAGAAGAGAAGAGAAGAGAAGAGAAGAGAAGGGCTGCGGCTTGGACTGAATCAATGGAGGATCTCTCTTTCATTTGTCAGCCAGTGTCATTGCATTATGGTAATATAACTCGAAGCTTGGGGGAGAGAGCTTCAGGGCAGGTTGAAGTTTAACTTTATAGGCATGAAATCAGTCAGTTATCAGTAAGAACAGTAAACTATAGTAAGAACTGTCAAACTTACTTTAAACTAAAGTCTGAGCAAAACTAAGAAGATGAGTCCAACATTAAGAAGCTGAAGCTATTATTCAGTTAATGAGAAGAGAACAGTAGAGGATGGAGCAGAGAATAGTACCAAATAGAGGACACAGCAAATGTGTTTTTCATTGGTAAAGCCCTTGTAAACACTTTGTCTTTGTATCTTTTATGGATACGCGCCTGCAGCCTACTACCCTCTAGTTTAGTACCACTTTACTACATTGGCATTAAAAGGCCATACACAAACATCATTACTGTACCCAGCCAACTTTCATAAATCACCTGGAAAGACTACAAGGGTATTTCAACTATAGGTGACGGAAACATTGTTATCCAAACTCTGCATAAATCCTCTTAACACTTTAACAGTACAGTGTTAAACGGTATTAAACTCAGAAGCCAGAAGAGCAAACAAGCCAGATCTCTGAAGTGAACCATCAAGTCCTGTAACTCTTCACATGGGGAAAAGTCATCTGCTCGCAGTTATGGTTCCTTCAAAATGTGCAGTACACCTTTTCTTTTTGTTTTACTTTTGTGATGAAACTATTGACATGTTAATCTGTGACATACTAACACATTGTGTAGCTATATTAGCTAACATTAGCCACTGTAAGGCACTGGTCATATATTTTAACAGGCTATAACAACTGTTTTAAACTTCCAGGTTTCCCTGTAAACATGGGAGAAGGTGATGTTGCAAAAATAAACCACCTATACTCAGTTAATGGTATTTCATTTTCTTCGTTGATGGTATAGTGTAACAACAAACACTTTTTACTCTGGGTCATGATCGATGTACACAGCCATAATAGCATAATTCTACCAGATTCCACTGTCACTTTCTGCCCTTAGGTGCCATCAGTCTCTGACAGTCTCAGTGAGCACAGAAACATAACTCTAGGATGATTTTAATCCTAAAGCATTAATCTCTAACGTATGATATATATCTGCATGCCTCAGGTAGAACCTTTAAGGGATCGATATAGTAGTTCATCATTTCTCTGGGGCTGATTAGAGGCTAATTAGTTGATCTCAGAATATCTGGTTGGCTCGGCAGCACTTCAACCTGCTGTGACTGCCTCTGAACTCTGTCCTCTGTGTTTGTATGTGTGTGTCTGTGTTTGTTTGTGTGCGTGTCTGTGTGTCTTTGCTCCACATCAGACAACGCCTCATCCCAGAGGGGATACTGGGTCATTGCAGTAGCAAAGAACCAGCTATAAATAAAAACATCTAGGACTGTTTTGAAATTTACACAATATGTATAGAAATGCGTGTTGATTCCTGCTCCTTGAAAAACAATATGCACACCAAAAGAACAAAACTGTTTGTGTTTGTCACAGGCGTCAGTGATGCAGCATCAGCACTCGTCTCTGCCATCCATCTGAAGAAGTCGGAGAGTATTTGTTATTGTGTTGCACTGCAGAACTTTGAGTTTCTAGCTGACTTGGCACTGCTCACAACAAAGAACAATGGAGACCTACAACCTGACCCTGTCTCATATTGACAATTTGCAGGAATCAGCTCTAGCTTTCCTTCGTCATGGCAGGTGGTGGGGAGCCGTCAGATGCTGGTCTTGATGAAAGGTCGAGCTGCTGCTTCTCTCTAGTCGTTGTCAGCTAACACTGTCAGACGACAGACAGCATGACCCTTCAACATCCCGCTCTACTCACTTCAGATGGTTTTGTGCAAAGTTCACTGAATCGACAGCTTTTATTTTTGACAATTTAGGCATCTAACTGAAGCTGTGAAGCTCCAAAACACCTCGCAATAAATGTGTGTATTATGTGTGTTTACACAGTTCCTATGGGATTTACTGTCAGAATGTGACAGCCTGGAAAAGAGTTGCACCAAGAAACAACAACAGCTGTTTGATGTGACTTCACTTCTTTGTACAAACAGAACATATACCTACACCAGATGGTGATTTATAACAGGAAGTACTCTGGTGGCTTTAAAATCCTTTTACTGCAGGATCTCAGGGGTGAAGAAAAAATACAGAGTCTAAATGAAGAGATGGAACGGATGCTCATGTTTCAGAGTTGCCCAAAAATGTTTCATGCTTTCTCTTGCTTTCATTTTCTTGCAAATACTGCATGAAGCATATCAGGATTTAAACAACCCTCAGCTGCCTATGAATGAGAACAAACAGATGGAGACGTGCAGTCTGGGGAAATGGGCACACATACTGTCAGTAAATCCGTTATCTTAATAAATAGAATAGTAAATTGACTGTATTTAGCCAAAGCAAATGACAGTTTGCTTGGAATTCTCCTTCACATTCACACACAAGCTATTAATGCTAACGGTGGCTATGTAGCAATAGCAAAACTTACATTTAAAGGAAAATGAGTATTTTGGCTAAGATGTTTATTTCACTTTGTGTAGCCCACAAAAGCATATTACTGATTAATCCAGTGGTGGAATATAACTAAGTACATTTAACTGTAGTCTTTGAGTTGGTAAGACTCCCTGACCTGATTTCTCAGGAGCATCATCACACAGTCAGCACACACTTTGAAACCAAACACCCACCACCACACAGATGTTTAAGAAGAGGCCTGGTAATCATGGCATCAAGTGATAAATAAGAAATGATCCCTGCTAGCACATACGAAGATACTGCACTTCAATAATGTTTGAACTGCAAGCCAGAGCTTTATTTTTATATCTGCTTCATTGGAAAATTTCTGAACCATGACAGTTCAGAACCGACACCAATTGTTTGCCTGTCAAATTCAATATAAAACATTTCTGCAAATCAAGATATTAGGGAAGGCTGAAAGGAATATTAAATTGGATTATGAAATGCCAACATGAAAGTTTCCTGTTTAATCTCAGTTCTGAGCTAAATGCTCAGCGTTTAAAAGACCCGAGAGCTTCTTCACAAGAGAAGATCCACACAGATATTTATGGCGCAGTTAAATCCCTCTGACATTTTGATGACATATGGATTTCACAAATCAGTCAGCACCCCATGATCACGCTAATGTAACACTTCTTCAACTATAATAACTCGTCTTTCTCATAGACCGAGTCCAATGAGTTTCAGCTAATTGCCTAATTAGTTCACCTCATGAAAAAGCATAAGTATGACAGCCAGTGAATTTTCACCATAAATCAGTATCTGCATGTGGCTGTGTATGTGTGTGTGTGTTTGAGTGTGTTTTTGTAGGGAGAGAGAGAGAGAGAGAGAGAGAGAGAGGTAACATGGTCTGAGATGCCACACAGTAAAGAAACCCATCAAAGGAAAAAGAAAAAAAACCCAGCCAATTAGAGTAAATGAGATGAGTGAGATTTAAAGCTGACATATAGGAAACTGACAGCCAGCATTCTTCAAAACCTCAAATCCTGGAGAGACATTCAATTAGTTAGTGTTGAAACTGAT